AGAGAGAGAGAGAGGGTTACTTGCAGAGAGAGAGGAAGAAGAGGCGCCAAAACAGAACTTGGAAAACATTTTTGGTGGGCTCCGAAAAGCAGCAGTCGCAGGTCCTAACAAAACGCTATCGACTTTGTTTCTAAACTTTGTCCCTTCTCGATGCCCAATTTACCCCGAGCTTTGCCAAATGTGAAAATTAGTACAATTTTAATGGAAATGTTTATATAAGGCTCCAACCTTAAAATGTAGAAATACGATGCACTCCAAAAATCCACTTAAAAAACCTGATTGATCATCCGTATGAATCTTAAAAGTAAATATTTTTCAGTCCTAAAAATAGTGTATCTTACAATGCATTATTTGGACCATCTATTTTTAAGATTTTCAAGTACTTACAGATCTACTTGATTACAACCATTTCTAAAATTTAAAATTTTATAATTAGACATAAAAATAAATTTTTAAATTTTTTTAAGAACTTTTGACAACCTTATACAAACCTCACCTTGAGAAAATTATTTTTTTCCTATAAAAATACTACAATAACACATAGCGACATGTTTTAAATCAAGCGGCTGGAGGGTGTACTTGATGGATCCGAACAAAATTTGTTGAGATAGAAGTAATGACAAATTCTATCCATGCAGTTTTATATTACAGTTTTTTGCTATCTTGTTTGTAAAAAATGTACACAATGATACTATTTACTTTTAATACAAAGAGGTCACAATCTTTATTGACCATCAGATTTGAAATCTGGTGGATGAAGATGTGTCATTTTAAAATAAATTTTTTTGAATGTTGTACGCAGTTTTATCTATAAGATTTCATATCCAATTGCCAAAAATAATTGTGAACTCATTACGTTAAAAAGTAGTCCCATTGTATACAGTTCTTCAAATTTATTTTTTGTACCTAAGAGGTAGTCCCATCGTATACAATTTTTCAAATTTATTTTTTGTACGGAAGAGGTTTGCCTTTGGCTTTGTATCATATTCTAGCGTTAGGTTTTTAAACAAGGCAAAAGTTTTAAATGACTGTTTGATGTTCGAGTTAACTTATAGTTTGAGCGTATTGGAAAATTCATTGTCGTCAATTTGACCTCAATGGGTGTTTGATTGGCAAATTGGAATTGATTTTCAACTGCAATAGGGTCCTCAAATTGATTTTTTTTGCAAAATCAAAGTTATTTCATGAAAATTCAATTTTTGCTCTCTCTCTCCCCACCCCGGCTACCATAAATTATTATTGTCCCTATTATACCACCACCACTATTGTGCCACCACCACCATTATGCCGCCATGATCATTACAACCATTGCTGCTGCCATCACTGCCACCAATATCACCACAGTCCTTAGCACCACCACTCTACTACCACCATCCCCACATTGCACCACCTCCACCACCTCCACCACTTCCTACCCACCACCACCACCACCACGACCACTCTACCTGCTGCAGCACAACCACCATCCTACAACATAACAATAATTATAATTCAAATTGTAACAATCAAACACCTATATTGAGCAAATGACAATTGATGAAATTGCCATTTGGTCAATTGCAATTTAAAAAAGGAAAAACGTTTATATAAGGATGCCACCTTATAATGTAGAACTACGGATGCCCCTAAAAAATCCATCGGAAAATGTAGTTTTAATGTTGAAAAACCTTTTGATTGATCATCTCGACATCGAGATGTATGACTATGAAAAATAAAAAGATTTTAAGTATCAGAAATAATGCATTTTACAACATATTATCTACACCATCCATTTTCAAGATTTTCATATGTTTATAGATCTACTTGATTTAATCATTTTTGAAATTTAAAATTTTATAAGTAGATATAAAAATAGATTTTGAGATAATCTTAAAACATTTTACATCAAAATTATATACCATGATAAAATTTGAAGGTGCACCATACCTCTACACCTATGGATGCATCCGAATGCAAACTGCACCCTTAAAAAAATACACCTTTACAATCAAAAGATCCCTAAATAAGGTGCCAATGTTATATTATAAATGGATTGTGTAAGTAGAAGAGGTTATTTCAAGGTCAGGGATCTTCAAATTAATCATCATGACCTCAAGATATGGATAGTGCATCTTATAACACATTATCCCTATCAATCATTTTCAAAAATTTCAAGTATTGATAGATAAAGTTGATTTTTGCTATTTTTTAAGCTTTAAATTTTATAATTATAAATAAAAATACATTTGCAAATCATCATAGCGGTAACTGCATCTTCTAGTATTGTCTAGACGTCCATCTTACTTTGATTATTTAAGGTCGACTTCTTGTATAAACAATATACTGTAAACATAAGCTATCGACTTCTATATTGTAGGGTGTTGAGCATTGGAATTTTAAATAACAATCGAAACCATTGGTTGTTGAGATGATGGTCGAGGAGCTGCCAGCCTAGTGCTTGGAGCTCAAAATGCCGATTAAGGTACTTTTTGCTTCCTTTTTAAAATTTTGCATGCATGGTGGTTTAGATCGTATATACATACAATACTCTCTTTAGAGGTACAACTAGCACTCTAATAATTTATTAGAACATAAATTGATACTATTTATTCTTGATACATGAATGTCACAATCATATTTAATTGTCAAATATAAAGTCGGATAACTCTAGACCGTACTATTGGTTAAGCTCAAATCCTTAGAAGTTTTTTTTCGAATTTTGCATGGAGAAAGGACTTGCCCCTTGCCACCCAATTCCATATGGACTCGGTTTCTATGCAGCCAAGCCTACATATGTAGAAATGTTGGCATGTTAATAAATCTATTTTTGAGATGGATTTTTGGAATTAATTTTTAAGGACATGTACTCTCTAATACGAAGACCATGAATATGAAAAAATAAATAAATTTTTAAAATTAAAAATAATAATTCTAGGAAGAAAACATACGGACCGTTAGTTTCCAAGATGAAACACCTACTTGCATCCATCTTTAAGATGGATGTTTTGCACTTTTTGGATTGCATACGTAGTCATGCGGTCCAGCCCGCATGAAACAATGTTCTATTTCATATATGACAACTAGAGGTGAGAGTGGCCTTTTTATATTAAATATAAATGGACTTACAGTATGCAATCTCATATTTTATGGTCTAGTGCTTTCTAGTATCTTATTTTCCTGGTGCTCTTAGTTTTGCGGTCTAGAATTTCGAACCTCTTTTTATATCATGCTCAACCGTTCCCTAAGAACATAGAACCTAAGAACAACATTAAAATATTGGTACCCAGAGTGAAAGATGCATGAACGCCTTTGAATATAACAAAAATCTAAAAAAACCATGTTTTGCATAGGTGCCGGTCCTTTTGGTGGTATACTCTGAAGTTGATTTGATAGAAATATAGACAAAATTCATTGAGCTTGGAGAAAGTGGCCTAGCCAAAATTATACAGATATGCTGCTAAATCTATACACCACCAAAAAGTGCATGAGGGATCAAAATTAAACTAAAAATAACTGAAAATAAATTTGAAGTTTGAAAGAAATAAAAAAGATTTTAGAAATCAAATTAAAATATAAAAACTAAAATTAAATTCAAAACAAAGATAAAGAGAGAGAGAGTGAATGAAGAGAGAGAGAGTGAACTTATGGAACTCGAAGAGGAAGAAAGTCAAATTATATCGAATATATGCATTTGAATAAAGACATATCCCCAAAGTGATGATATATCAGTTAATTTAAATCAGATCAAGAGGTACTTGCAAAGGACTGGAATATTTAGGATAGATATAAGTCAAAAGAGGGAAGTACACATGGATACATGGTAGATATTGAACATATATCTTCTAATGTGTATGACAAATTTGGGTTTGACACCCCAATTATTAAGACCAAATTTGGAGTAGGGTCTCAAAAATTCATCGTCAGGATAGATCGGGAGTTCAGGGTGGACAGCGTTTGCATATCGATTAAATTGAGGAAAGTAGGGGTGGCGGAGACGATGCTTAATTTAGTGTTTATGGACCTAATTAGGGTTATCTAGCTTTCTTTGGGCTAATTTGGCTAGTTCATGTGCAAGAAATGTCTTTCGGACGTTAAATTGCTTTTTAATATGCGATAGAATGTTATTTTTACAAAAATATCTATTATACCCTTCATAATGACATAAAAAAATGAGCTTGTTCGAAAAAGCCTTTGTATTACAAAGTGAATGTTGAATAGATTAAGTGAATACTGTATGAGTGGGAGTAGCCTAACAAAATCCTATCATAAATTGAGGTAAAGTGGGAGGGTATCGTATAAGCGACCAAGATTTTATGATAAAATCACATTGTGTAGTTCTAAAAGCTTTTCTCACTTCTTAGGGGGTTATGATACATTGTTTATGCAGAAAATTGACAATATGCACTCGGGCTAGTCCATACCATGGTGGGCTTGGTACAATATATGTTGGGCTTGGGACTTAGAAATTTCATTTTGTTTAGTAAATAGACAATAATCATCTTAACGTATATTAACAGAGATTATCTACAAAGAGACCAATTATCTTTTGTACAAGGAGGTGACAATCATTCGTGTCATTTAGATTTCAAAATGGGTGGTTGCAAGAGTGTCATTGATTAGATATAAAGTTCCAAAAAAGAATTCTCTGACTTCGTGACTCACCCCAAGCCGTCCAGTTTGACGCTTAATGAGTAGGAATAGTTATGGAGAAAGGTTTCTATACTTCCCCCACAACATAAAAGATCCATGCTTCCCTTACTATCCAGCCGTCCAATTTTGATCAAGAGAGCCACTCACCGTTTGATCTGAGATCCGACGTCTCAAAGTATTTTATTTTTAGTTTTTTTACAGAAAAATGTATGAATATGAAATTTGGTACGTGCCATCTTCTCATTGGGGCACACCTATAAAAAATATTTAAAATATTTTTTCAATAAAATATAATGACCAAAATATCTCTTGAATCTTTCAAGGGTATTTTGGTCATTTTATTTTATTAAAAATATGTTTTTAATATTTTTTGCTAGTACGAGTTTAATAGAGGATTGGGCGTAAAAATTTGGTGTCAAAATAGTTTATAGAAAAAAATAAAAAATAAAATAGTATAGAGACCTGACATTGTGATTTGGGC